AAGTATAAATCTGTTGATGATTATTTTTTGCTCATTTTAATCAGAGATCATTTTATCATTTTATATCAGAGTCATTATAAAAAAAACTCCGTCGGTTGCCACACGAAAAATTGCTATAAAAGATAGGTCGTTCTCATTTCAAAACGGAGAAAATAGCAATTGAAGAAACAGAAGGTCTGAGAAATTGATTGAGTTATTGTGTAGTTTGAATTACATAACATAAAATTGGTCGCGTTTTATTTTAACTATTCGAAAATGAAATATTTGTGTGTATTTTTATTATTTTTGTGTTTGAAAGTGGGAGCTGAACCTACTGATTTGAATCAACAACTTTTAACCGCCGCTTCAGAAGGTTAGTGCTTTTTCAACCAATAACCTCGGTTTTTTATTGAAAAAATATCAAATTGAGAATTTAGTTCAAACTAAATTGATGAATTGTAAATATCATATCTTTCAGGAGATCCAAGAGCAATCAAGACTATAATCGAAAATGGAGCCAATGTAAATACGGAAAATGGAGAAAAAGAAACACCTCTTCACCTGGCTGCTAAGAATGGTACTTGAACACATTTCTCCGACAAAATTTAAAAAATGATTTTCAAACGAAGTATTTCAATATTTTTCATTGAACAGTAATTTTATCATAAATTTTGACTGGGAGTACCAGAGCACTAATTCTGTAATTCTTTTGAATTAAAATAGCCTCTCTTTCATTTTTGGATGAAAAGACTTTTCTGATGAATTTGTAAATGCACAGTGCAATGTGATGAACAAAAAATTATCTCTCTGAAAATGTTCAGAAAATGTGAAAGTTCATAGGATTGACCATACTTTATGAATTATACACTTTTTCAATAATGAAGTTACATATAGATACTTCCTAAATCACAACAAACGTCTAAGTTTTCTATTGTAAAAAAATCAAATTGAAAACGACTCAGTTCAAAAAGGCTTATGAGCAAGCTCAATGAATCCAAATTTCTTTTACAAAATGTATTTTCATTGAAGCTTAAGCTAACCAATTGTCATACGTTTCAGGCGACACAAGATCAATCTCGACTCTAATCAAAAATGGAGCCAATGTAAACGCGGAAAATGAATATAAAGAAACACCTATTAATCTAGCGGCTGAGAACGGTAATTTCTCCAACAAAATTTAAAAAATATTTTTCAAATCAAGTCTCATCATACTTCATTGAACAGTAAATTTACCATAAATTTTGACTAGGACTTTCATTTTTGTGGGAAAAGACTTTCATGCTCATCTCATCATTATTGATGAAATGTAAACGCGCATTTAAAAGCAAAAACCAAAAAATATATTTAGAAAATAATCCCTTTGAAAATTTTCGACAAATGGAGTTTCATCTATAGGATTGATGAATTTTGGACCTTTTTGAATTTCAAAGAATATTTTAATGAAATTAAAATGACCGCTTTTCATATTTTCTAGGTTACACCAAAGCAATCAAATTATTGATCAAAAATGGAGCCAATGTACATACCAAGGGTAAACGGGGAGGAACAGCACTTCACTGGGCTGCTGAGAAAGGTTTGTTAACATTGAAGTCAGTACTACTTTCATTGAGAAGAGACATCTCAGTGAATGTTTTACAATGGACATATTTTCTAGGTGATACAGATGCAATTGTAGCTTTGATCGAAAATAAGGCTGATGTTAATGCCGAAGACGAAAAAAACGAAGCACCACTTCACTGGGCTGCTAGGCATGGTAATTGCACAAATAATAAAAAAGACATTTTAATGTAGGTTAATCACATCACATTCCACATTTTATAGGTCAAACAGAAGCAATTAAATATCTTATCGACCATGAAGCAAATGTAAATGCTGTAGGTAAACTTCAAGATACACCACTTCATAAAGCTGCTTGGCATGGTAATCTCTCAGTTGTTCGAACTAAAATGAAGTTATTTCTCATCAGAATGTTTCATTTTTAGGTTACGTAGAAGCAGTCAAATATCTTACTGAACATGGAGCAAATGTTAATGCCAACGGTGATGATCAACTAACAGCGTTGCATGATGCTGCATCAGATGGTCATTTTAAACTTCTCCAAACAAAAATAAATATTTTCAATGCTTTTCGTTCATTGTAGGTAACATAGAAGAAATCAAAATTCTAATCGATCATGGAGCAAATGTAAATGCCGAAGATCAATATAAAGATACACCACTCCATAAGGCTGCTTGGTTTGGTAATCGCTCACTTGTTCGAATTAAGATAAAGTTATTTCTCATCACAATCTTTGATTTTTAGGTCAAATAGAAGCAGTTAAATATTTGATTGGAAAAGGGGCCAATGTGAGTGCAGTAGATATAGAAAAACATACACCACACTACTGGGCTTCTAAATATGGTAATTGGGAATTATTGCAATTCCAACCCAGTATCAAATATTTTCAATATTCATAATAACTTTACATGCATTCCAGATCACACAGAAGTGGTCAAATATCTAGAAGAACATGGCGCCAACGTGTAGGTTGAACATGAAGATAGAAAAAACTGTTTAAATAAAGGGCAGATTCCGGTTTCTTCTGCAATATAAATCCCAAATTTATTTCAATTATAATACTTTTTCTTATCTGAGAAGAAAACTTCTTTTTCTATATCTGACGTCCACCCACTTCTAAATACAAATATTTGCACTAATTGCAACTCATTTTGGATTTGTAAATCTAAAATTAATCTCTTCAAAAATCAGAGAGACAGAATTGAATAAACGGAACGATAAATTTTTAATTTAATTTTCTGGTTTTTTATTTGAATTTAATATTTTTGCAGAATAGTGTGATGTGTGATTACATGCTTTCTACCTACACATTTTGTCTGGTCCAAAGACAAAAGACACAGAATGAACTCACGGTTGCACTATATTTTCTTAACTAATTTGGAATTGATGCAACCGTTGAATTAGTAGCCCGTGCAACATATGCCACATTACTTTGATTTAAGTCACACATTGCAATGTGCTTATCTCTTATGTAAACGTGAAAATTGTCTTTGGGGTGCCTAACTTGATTTTCTGCAATAAAAACGCACAATTTTAATTTTAAAAATGAAAAAAATAAAACGAATATAAGTTTAATGTTCCACTCAGTCCGGTGTATGAAAACATGCCAATTTGGTCGATAATTATGCGAAAGTTCCATATGCACGTTTAATTCAAATTTCATATAAACTACAAAAATATTTTTTTTTTAAATGCATTGAATCCAGAACAAATCGTTCATTATCTCGAACTTCTGCAAATGATGAGCAAGAAAATTTATGCGATGCTTTTTATTTATGATCAATGACTTTTAATTTGCCAATTGGATGTGCCATCCGAACTGGTGTGAATGCAATACAATGAAAATCATACGCAACATAAAATCCATTCGATTTTGTGGTGCATTTTTCTGCGCCCAGTAATGAGATGAGCAAGAAGAGTCACAGAATGTTAACGTTCATTGTTTTCAAATTCTAATCATTTGAATGCTGGAGAAAATTGTACAACACATATACCGTACCGTTCAGAGATATGTGCCATTGCATCAGTTGGACAAAAGAAAATGCGTGACTTTTCGACTTTGGATCGAAGCCTCAGTGTTCGCCTCAAATGAAAACAATGGCATTGTTCGACTCTTTCATTCATGCACACACGTTCGCTATGAATGGCATGCGATAGGCAACTTCGGGCTTTTTTGCCTCTTTAAATAAAGTCTTGTATGGTAGCGAGAGACATTTAAACAACGGAAAAATATAATTTATGCGAAAATTTTATCGTTATTTCAATTCTCGTATATATATAAAATATGTGCGCCACCATGCGACAGTGTGTGCGGTTTGCAATTGTCTTAGTTTGTCGACGACAAAGGGCACCGGTTCATTGTCGCACTTGATCATTAAATGTTTCATGGAATTTCGTTTAGTTGTGCCATTGCCGTTGTTGCATATGAATTTCAAATGGGAAATCTGAAGCCAAAACAATTACCGGAGTATATTTTGCCATTATATTGAATTGAAATGCTAGCTTATTGCCATCCATTGAATATGGTTGTAATGTGTGCATCGCACAATTGAATTTCAAATGCGAGAGTCATAGGGGGAGAGAGGGAGAGGAAAAAACGACGTTCTTTCATTTGAAGCAAATCGGAACATATGAAAGGAGAACCGATTCATCCCGCCTCCGTATTATTACAAAACTTGGACTGGGACATTTCAAAATGCCAAACAAAAACAAAAAAAGTCTTAATACAACTCATTGAATGTGTGAATATGAATATAAATTCATTTGCATTCATACGGTGTACGATAGACGCCTACAACTATGCAAAACCAACAACCACGCTCACTTTATAATTTAATGAATTCGCTTAATTGTATTTAAATATTGAATCTAATTGAATCAACGTTTGATGAAAAAAATAGATAGAGAGAAATAGAATCACTCGAATAATTGATTTAAATTAAAGCCTTTAATTCAGCAAAAGTGAATGTGTGTGCAACGAATTGATATAAAAAACTCTTTCTAGCAACTTTGATGGAGAAAAACTTTATATTTTATAGTTGAAAAAACGGATTACTGCAAGACCAAAGTCAAATGTGCGAAATTAAAAATGTATCGATTTAATCGCTAATGAGGGACCGCTATGTCAACACAGCAGTTGATTTTTGTCATTGCATCGCAGACGATTTCTTCTACATTTAACTCGTTTACATTGCCAACTTTAGTTTAGACAATTTCTGACTTTAGGCTCGAAAAACCGCAAAACCAGTTTCACAGTTCAATGGCCCAAACGTGGCAAATTCGTTGAATTCAAAATGCGAAAGAGTGATGCAGACAAAATCAATTACATAAATTAAAATAAATCGTACGCATCGAAGAATGTCCTCGTTACAGTTAAAGTGAATTGTGCGAAATGCACCCGAATATTGATACAGATTCTGAAGCGATTATGAGTCTCTTCGACACAGTAAAATGAAATGCCAAAAAACTAACGTACAATTTGTATCACGAATATGATGAAAATTTGTAATCTAAATAGAGAAAAACCGACACCATCATTCGGAGCTTTAATTAAAACACTCTCGTTCTCGCTTTATGCGGTTTAAGTTGTCATTTAAGTTTTCTACCAGCCGTATAATCATCTCGTATCCCCTCTTCGCATATCCATCAGTGCAATGACCAGATTAAAGTGTGCTTCATTTTATCAAAATAAAGATTTCCACACGATATAATTCCAAAAGACAGTTGTGCATATTTTATTCATTTTTTTTCTCGAGAAAAAGTTGACTTTTAGTTCATTACCTTGAATATACATTGAGAAAACAAGATAAGCGTGCGAAAACGAAATGTAAATGAATTCCCGCAAGTGAGAAAATAATCCAAAATACATCATCGTTTGCTACCTTTTTTTGGATTCGAATCATTTACACGCCATTTCGAATGGTGGTTACAATGGCAATGAGACGGAAAAATAAATGTTTTTAAAGTCAAATGATTGCATTACTGCAACAAACACAACACCAAATATATATAAATCAAATATGTCATTCGCTTTTTTCGTAGATAAAAAGGTAAACCTTCTTCTCGCTTACTTTTACGATAGATTGATGATGCACACACATTCCACACTCGTAAAACTCATGCCGCGTGAACACAAATGCAATGAATAATTAATTTTTAAAACGAATTCAAAAGCAAATGTTTTATGTAAATCGGTGTAAAAAGCACTGTGAACACCCTTTACCTAGTTTAATACACACATATTTGGTACGGTTTAAATACACTCGATTCCCATGCGAATGAACACACCTTCGGAGTTTGTTTTTGAAACTTGAATTGACACAAGATGAGAAAGGGGGAAAGAGCGAGAGAGAGAGAGAGGAGGAGATATAGAGGAAAAAAGAGATAGAGTCTTAAAAAGAGAGAAGGAAAGACAGAGGTTAAAAGAGAGAGAGAAAAGGAAAAAAAGCGAAAGTTCGAAAGGTAGAGAAAGACCAACAGAAAGTGAGAGGTGTAAACTTCAATTAACACCTCTTGAATGAACTATATTTGTCATAATTTATTCAGTCGGCTGTCATTATTTAAACTCGACATTGGGCAATGACTGTTTGAGTCACGGGAGCCATACGAATTGAACGAAACATAAAATTTTGAGAGAGAAAAAGATAATATCCATTTGATTTTCAATTATCATAATTGCCCGATAGAATAACTGACAAGCTCACAAATCGAGACCAACCACTCGTCGAAATGGTGCACGTATCTATCGGCCACATGTTTCGGTTTTTCTGTCTGAAATTCAATAACGGAAGAGATAAATCAACGTGAACGGTGAATGAACCTTCCTACACACGACCATCATCCGACTCCCCCAAAAATGACAATAGAAAACATCACAAGTAAATGGCATTACTCTTAGGATTTAGTCTTATGCATCTTTCATACCAGTCTTTTTTTATCATATTTTCGTACTTTTTCTTCTCTCATTTTCGTGTGTATCATTGTTTGTTGTCCGAATGCTGGTCCGATAACAACAGTCGACGGCGGTGATCACGACGGCTGAAAATGTGCTTCTTGTAATGCTGTTATTCTTTTCACGAAAAAATATTACATTTTTGCACGAATAGGAAATTCCTTTTCCTAAGAAAGAGCAACAACAACAAAAAAAAGCGAGAAGAAGAAAAAAAAGATATAAATTTCACATTTCTTTCTTCAGTGCCGTGCACCATTCATTTTGAACAACATCGTTTTTGGTCATATTTTCTCCATGACACACACCAAAAAAATATTGTACACATTTTTATCTCAATAAAAAGCGAGCAGCCAACCAGCGATAAAATGCATACGGACGAAATGGATAAACGTTTCGAAAATCACGTTTGACTTAAATGCACTTTTATGAAAACAAAAACAAGATTAATCGAAAAGCGTATTTCGTGTTTAATGCCATCCATTCGGTTTTCTTCAATTTTTATACATTGTTGGTGCAATTCAATACTACCAATTCAGATAGCTATTGAATTTTCGTCGCTCCGCACGAAAAACATGTTTCGTATCAATAATATCGTATTACACAGTTGATTATTGATGTTGTCAGCAATTTTGCTTCAATTGTTCTCTCAAATCAATTTTCCATTTCAAACCATTTTGCGATTAATGGATCATTTCTATCCGGCCGACCAATTTGTTTAGCAATATGTTGTTGCCTAGTTATTGGAAAGAAGTCATCAAGAGACATTTGAGTTGAAATCATGATTGAAGCGATTGATTTTTAAGCCACTCCACAATTCCATAAGTTCATTAATACACCAAATAAACTCTTCAACAAAAAAGTCCCAAAACTCTGCCATATTTTCCCAACACGTTCAATCTAATCATTTTGAAAACGTGTGTGCCACGGTTGTGTACAAAAATCATAATTTCAAATTTGTTGTACCTTTTCGCTTACTAAAATTACGGGAAACTGTAGCATCTGCATCCGATGGCTTCTCTTCATATACTGATTCTTTGCTTTTCCTTCCGTACGTTGAACATTTCAACTTGAAATGCAAATCATTTGCATTCGCATATGGCAATGTTGTTTGAAATTTAAACGTTTCGCATTATTGTCCATTTCGTGGAAAAAAAGAACTAGATGATTTTATTTGGAATGTTTCGTGATATGTGTTTTATTTCGTTTTGTTTTCCAAACTGATGTCATCAAAGCTTGAAAGACAGAAAAAAGCATAGCAGTAGTTTGAAATGCGAACATACAAA